AGTTGTCGCGCAAAGAAGGCTGGCCTTAGTTAACTTCCGACGAAACCCAACTCCTGACAATCTAACAAAATTAGAAAGTATAACACAAAAATCTCAGAACTTAATTCGAAAAGCTAAATCGCATTTTTGTGATTCCTTTAACGAAAAGGTTTCACCAGCCCACGTTTGGCAACGTATGAAATGGGTCAAAGGATTTAGACAACAAAAGATATTCCCTTCTAATGAAAAATGTTTAAACTTATTATATTCCCTTACTGCAGATCATGTTTTACCAGCAGAACCGATTTTCACGTCTAAAAATGAGTTAATAGAATCTGAATTTTCAATCTCTGAACTTCAAGCTGTTTTAAAGAAAAAAGATTCTGCGCCAGGAAAAGACGGTATTTCGTATACAATGCTATACTACCTACCTATTTCGGCTCAAATAATACTGCTTAATTTGTATAATAGAATTTTTATCACCGGAAATATACCTTCTCAATGGCGTGACATCCAAATAGTCCCTATTCCTAAAAACAATAATAATAGTAGTGAAGTTAAATTAAGACCAATATCTTTAATATCATGTATGTGTAAAACCTTGCATTTAATGATTTTCAGGCGTTTAGAGTGGTATACGGAGAAAGAAAGAATATTGTCGTCGTCCACAGTCGGTTTTAGGAAGTCGCAGTCTTGTTTGGATTGTTTGACTCGATTAGTTACCTACATTCAGATTGGGTTTTCAAAAAATAATGCAACATTAGCCTGTTTCTTGGACATTGAGAATGCCTATAACAATGTTTCAGTTGATATAGCAGTGAATGTGCTTGACAATCTGAACGTAGGTGCTACACTGTGTAAATACCTTTGGAGATATTTGAGTGAAAGGCACCTAAGTGTAGGGTTTAATAATGGTGATATAGTAAGCAGATATACTAATGCAGGCTTAGCTCAGGGAGACCCACTCTCTCCTCTTCTCTTTAATCTAATTACCCATAAAATATGTCATAAACTACAGAATGTGGAGGCTTCACAATATGCAGATGACTTTGTAGTGTATATTAGTGATAAGGACGTCAAATTATGTGAAAAAGTCATTCAAGATGCGTTGGATACAACCGTAGTATTGTTAACTGAATTAGGCTTAACGCTTTCGCCAAACAAGACGCAATATTGCTTTTTTAGTAAGGGCCATAGAAGAATTATTCCTGTTTTAAAGGTAGGCTACCAACAATTGACGTATACAGAAAATGTCAAATATTTGGGTATGTGGCTGGACAGGAGTCTAAAGTGGGGCAAACACATTAATGAAATTTCGTGTAAATGTTCCAAATTTTTAAATATATTGAAAGTATTGGCCGGAAGTTCTTGGGGAATACACATGTCACACTTGCGACGATTATATATATCCCTAATTAGAGCTCGTATTGACTATGCTTGTTTCTTATATGATTGTAGTGTTAAAAGTCACGTTTCCAAACTTGATAAAATTCAAAATCAAGCGTTGAGGGTGATAGGGGGATTTATAAAGAGCACTCCAATTTATGTCATGGAGAGTGAGTTACATGTGGCACCTCTGTTTGTTAGGAGACAATATCTAGCATATAAATATTTGATTAAAAACAGATCAAAGTCGATGAACAGTACTAATAAATTAATAGCCGAAATAAATAGCTTAATATATAACAACAGGTATTGGACTAATAAAAAGAAACCCCTACTTGCACAATCCTTCCAGGATACGAATCAAATCGATTGTATTTCAATGGACACTCTTAAAATGTTTAGCTTTGAAATCTGGTTGTCAGCTGTAGGTTTCCAGAAATACTTAGAAGATAACCTAGAATGTATATCCTTAGCAAAATCTAAATATGAACCTAACGTTCTAATGAACAATGTCCTGAGAGAAGTATGTGTGAAGTATGAGGGCTGGCATAAATTATACTCTGACGGTTCCAAGGGAGCTGATGGCTTGGGCGCAGGTTTTTATGATCAAAGCTGTAATTACAAACAAGGTTTTAAAGTTATCTCAAATGTATCTATAATGACGCTTGAACTCATTGCAATTCATCAAGCTTTGATTTACACAGTGAGGAATAATTACAACAAAATAGTTATTTTCACTGACAGCAAGAGCGCTATACTGCACCTGGCTCGATGCGCCTCTGGTTGCAGCAGAGGTACATCGACAGCCTACGACATCCTAAAAATAATTTTGAATTTTAGCAAAAATAACACAGAGGTGAAGGTGCAATGGGTTCCAGCACACATAGGTTTAATGGGAAATGAGGAAGCTGACCGTCTGTCGAAATTAGCTGCTAAGGAAGGAATGCAACTTGATTATACACCTGATTATTTGGAATATTTACCTGAGTTTAAACAGAAATGCTTTGATGTTTGGCAAAATCATTTTACAGTGACATCAAAAGAAAAAGGCATATGGTACAAGACCATTCAAGGTAAGCTTCCTCAGATTCCCTGGTTTGAGAATAGTAAGGTAGGCAGAAATTATATTAAGTTATTGTTACGATTACGTTCCGGACACTATCCATCAGCGAAATTTGGGTTTCTAATGAAAAAAATAAACTCACCTAATTGTACGACGTGCAACGTTATAGAAGACGTTCAACATCTACTGATGGATTGTGTCAGGAATCAAAGTCAACGGAACGATCAGGGCGCTTACTCTTGAAACCAATCTCAATGTCAATGCAATTTCAATCCAATATGATCTCAATAATTATTAAATGTCAACACTATACAACCACAATCTTAGCTGTTACAATAGCATTCAGAGTACGGAATATAAAGACAAACTCAATACCATTTAGTTCATTCAATATCTACGCAATACGGATGCAATGGGCTCTAGTATTGCAACTCAAGAGTACGAAATTTCACAATACCAATGTCGATCGATCGGAATTGGATTCAAGAGTAAGCCCCCAGGTCAATGAATTCCAGCTAAATATGGAAGAGGTGGGGTTGATACAATCTATTTTAGCTCAGCCAAATTCTAAATTAGCAAAACGATTGTGTCAGTTGATGTATTTCGTTGATTAAGACTAAGTTAATTAGGAACTTTCATAGTTAATTTTAAGGTTTTGTTTATATAATGGTTGTAGGTAGTATTAGGTACGATGGGGTTGGCGTATCCTCATGGATAAAAACCCCGTATTAATTAAATGTAGAATAAAAAAAAAAAAAAAAAAAACTTCTTTATATAGGTATATAATTCTGCTGTACATACGTGTGTATATCATTGAACTCCTAAACGGCTTGACCGATTTAAATGATTATTTCTGTATGCGTTTGAGTGGCACCCTGGATGGTTTAGATTCACAAATCAGCCCGGCAGATGGCGCTGCAGTCGCCGTCGGTATTTAGGTTATTCATCTATACCTATTATTATATTATATGCAGGACAACGTCTGTCGGGTCCGCTAGTATTATATAGATTTGTTATGTAACTTCTGAAGTATGTAATATGTTGATAAATAAATATTACTTTGTTCCATTTAAAGGTGGTGATTTCTTTTATGAAATATTGCCAATCTTATTTCTTTATTTACCTTGAAGAAAGTTCGTATTGCATATTTTATTTTCCTGCTTTCAACGTCTTGGGAATTTTAAGGGAATTTTTTTATAAAAATAAATACAAAATTTATTATAAATACAACGCAAGACACTCAAGACATTTCCCAACTTACTACCGCAAATTACTGTCACTTATTTATAGAATAAACTCATAAACCTGGGCCAAAATAAATTACTATTCTCCGAATTTTTTTATGGCATAAGCCGTTAAACGAGCAGACGGATCACATTATGGTAAGCAATCGGCGTCGCCCATGGACACCTGGAACACCGGAGGCGTTACAAGTGCGTTACCGGCCTTTTGGGGATTAGGAGTTTGAGGATCGTTGGGAATTCAGGGATTGGGGAGATTGGGGAAGGGACCCTCCCTCCTCCGGCCTGTTGGGCCTCCGGTAACCTCACTCACACGACGAAACACAACGCAACCGTTGCTTCACGTCGGTTTTCTGTGAGGCCGTGGTATCACTACGGCCGAGCCGGCCCATTCGTGCCGAAGCATGGCTCTCCCACACTTAGCGTTAGAGTTTGTTTCTTTTGGTCGATAATAATACAATTTATCTCTTGTTTAGAATCCTACGAAAGTATATAATTTTCAAAGGAAATTTATAAACTTACGGTTCTTGTCATTTACCGGTGACGGATACATTTAATCTAAATGGCCATATACAATAATCTATTTTTTCCACACGCACTTCCATTATGGATGTCAAACGAAAGGGCTCGATTGGTAAAACAGAGCTCATTAAACATAAAAATATTTTTATGTATGTATTTCTTGGTTTTCCTGGAAAAGAACAACATCGGACTCATTTTACAATTTATTTCTTCCTGAAATTCTTCAAGCTAAACGATTATTTTCGACGATGACTAACAAGGACTGACAGGATGGCGCTTGCTTGAGATTAGGGGCCACTCAGCTCGACTATGAACCATTTACACATATAAAAGTGACATACACGGACATATAGTAACGATTACATGTTACATAGGTATAGTTTGTAATACAGTGATATGTATTTGAAATGATTTTTCCGATAGTTTGACAGATGTAGTGAATCTAATATCACGTCTAGTTTTGTTTTAATAATATGCTATCATTATAAAGTGGGCGTACCTTCACTTGTTTTGCAATAACAAAATTATTGTTCATAATATTTTTGTATTTACTAAAAAAAAACGATTTTTAAGAAGTGTTTGAGTGATAAGAATGTTTATATATTAAAACTGTTGTTTAGTTATCATTTCTACTAAATGAGTGGGTGTAGTTTGTTATTGTATTTGTATACTTTGACTTAATATTAATGTGTTTACGTTTATATAAAGCAGTTTAAGTACGTTACGGGCAATTGGTCTGTCTCTTGATATAAACACTGTGTTAAAGTATTTTTCTATTTCGTAATAGATATACTAAATTGATAATAAAAATGTGCTGTGAACTGCCAATGTTAAAGAGATGTTTTTTGTGCATACCTCTACGGTATGGGCTGATTGGATGGGGTTATATCAGACTGGTAAGTATCTTATTAAATTGACTTATGTACCCATAAGTAATATATGTATGTATTGTGTACCTCTAGATATGAAATCTAGTTTTGTGTCCATATACACTAGTTACAAACAACGCAACGCCCCCAAAGGCTAAGGTAACGGAGTCCATGTCAGATTAAATTAAAGGCTAAAGTAATATAGTAATAAGGTCCATGTTAGATTAAATTTTCAGATAGGAATATATTATTTTACAGTTTTTTTGTTGTGGTTACCAAAAGTAAATGAACTTGTGTAGGTAGTGTGCACTGTCGTGTTTGCTGTCAAGTGTAATCACAATAGACTGTACAACAACACATTGTATATACAGATGAGAATGGCAACAAAAGAGAGAATTTTTGACACTTGAAATTCCAATAAAAGTTACTGTACCTAAGAAATGCGTTGAAGCTTCGTTGCTTGGGAGTTGCATATGACCGCTTGACCCAAAGTACAGTTTTAGGTAGGAATTATGAACCATCGATGATGATATCAGTAAAATAACCAGTGTATGTCCTCCATTTCAGGTGATAGACATAATCCTGACAGTGGCTCTGACAATAGAGTTCACATATGTGTTGAGGATGGTGCAGACCCGGTCCTACAGTGTTAGCAACCTGGTTATAATCAGCCTAATCATACTGCTGGGCGTCGCAGACTTTACGCTCACTGTCGTGTTTATTATTGGCGGACAAAGGGTAAGATTTTAAATATAAGTACTTACAATAAAGTATTGTCTTTGACCTTATACGTACTGTTACGTACATGCTTTACATGCTCTATAATACCATGCTAAAGATAGTTCTATTGAGCATGTTCTAACTTTGTGATTGTGCTTCCGCACGAATGGGCCGGCTCGACCGGAGTGATACCACGGCCTCACAGAAAACCGACGTGGAACAACGCTTGCGTTGTGTTTCGTCGTGTGAATGAGGTTACCGGAGGCCCAATTACCCCCCTCCCTAGTCCCCGTCTCCCGAATCCTCGAATCCTCCACAATCCTCAAATTCCCAATTCCCAAAAGGCCGGTAACGCACTTTTAACGTCTTGGTGTTTCGAGTGTCCATGGGCGGCGCCGATTGCTTACCATCAGGTGATCCGTCTGCTCGTTTACCGGCTAATGCTAAATAAAAAAAAAACATGTTTAAAACGCCTGTCAAATCGCAAACTTGCTTGAAATAAGCATGCTAATTTTGACCAATATTCCGACACACATGCTAAATTGACAAGTGGTCAATTAAAGCAGGCTTCTGTGCTTGAAATCAGCTGCAGCAGTACCTTAAGATATTGTGGTGACGGTAAAATAAAATACATTTACACCACTACCACTCCTTTAGCTAGAGTAGGAACGGGGTGGTTTTTAGTCAGTAAGAGTCTGACACTCCCTCCCGCCTCACCCAGGTAGGAGAAGTCATTGGATGATTTTCTCCCCTTAAATATAAAAACCACTTCTTTCGTGGGTATCAGACGAAGGTACTACACATTTTTACTGACAAACAGGAACTTTTAAACTGAGTCCAATAGGAAACCCTTCTGTTTTAGAGAAACCCTTGATCCAGCAGTAGCGTATCTGAAACTGATGATGATATTTAATAATACTTATACCTTGACATATCTACATATGTCCTATATCCCCCTAGATGGTCCAGTAGATGTCCACAGAAGTCTTCTTAACCGTACGGCTATAAAAAAATATTCATCATCATCATCAACAGCCTATAAATGCCCACTACTGAGCAAAGCCTCTTCTCACACGGAGAAGGTTTGAGCATTAATCACCACGCTTGCTCAATGCGGGTTGGCGATTTCAAACTTATAATTAGAAATTATAAGTTCAGGTTTCCTTACGATGTTTTTCCTTCACCGTTTGTCAGTGATGTCTAAATAATCTTAGAAAGTACATATAACTCGGAAAAAGTCACATTGGTACTTGCCGTTGGTAGGTTTCGAACCTGCACCCTCATGCATGAGAAGCGGGCGTCTTAAACCTCCGGCCACCACGACGAAAATATTAATTTATGCCTTTTTTGCCTTCAGAAAAACGTGAAACTGCTGAAGATTTGCTACGTGTACAACATAGTCCTGTGGGTGCTGATCATCATCATGGGTGTCGCCATATCAGTGTACACTGTATACCTGATGTATCAACACAGCTTGGGATTCCTTCACCATATCGTGTACATCCTTACTGATCTCTTTACTTACCTGTCTCAGATATGTAAGTTATAATAATTCTTTTGTATACTATTTTATAAAAAAACCAATTCCAATCCCATTTTTTTTTTGAAGTCTGTTAATTAATAGGTATAAGACTAAAACCTTCTCTTAAGTATAATGAACATTTTTCTGAAAAAGGGGGTTTTCAGAAAAGTGCGATTTGATGCGCTTTTGGATTTGTTTTTTATCCCAATTTAACACTTTACTCTGCCTACCTTGTTGACTGAGTAGGTAGTCGCAAGTACGACTGCCTGACAAGGGGTCTCGAGTTCGATTCCTGGGTCGGGCAAAAAATTACAATAGTAGCACGGAGTCTGGAATTTTGCCCGGTACATGGCGATAGGCTCACCCCCTGTTACAACATAAATAGTGAAAAGTGGGTGTTATATTGTACAGTAGCATTAAGAGCCGGAATGTGCACCTCTGCCTACCCCTTCAGGGATAAAAAGTGGTGATGTGCTGGATCGTCAAACACATATATCCGCGGATCCGGATACGGATAATTAGTGTCAAGAACCCGCGGATATACTGATACGGATCTTTATTTTCTTAGTCAATCGTTGTTTGCTTTATTTATTTTTGAAAGGAGAGTCTGCTATGAAGACTACCCATGAAATATCACACCAGGGAACGTCTTTGCAAACGCCAAAAAGATACATTTTTCAAAGATTAGGTATATGGAAAAAGCTAGAATGTGGGACAATACATACCCCAAATCAAAAAAAAAATTTATATTTGATTGCTGAAATGTTAACTTCATCAGATTTGCCATTTCAACTCGTAGAACAATTAGGTGTTCGACGATTGATGGATCATAATGTTCCAAATGATCTTTTAAAAGGCAGAAAGTATTTTACGGAACTTCTTTGCAACAAACTTTACGATAAAGTGACGTCAGAAATAAAACACGTGTTACAAGATTTTGAGAAAATTTCCTTCACGTCATTGGCATCGTTAACATGTCACGGTATTACCAAAGAATTTCAAGGAAAACACATCGTTCTGAAAGCGCAAGTTCTTGAAGAACGTCATACGGGGGATTTCAAAAATTTTTCAGTGTATTTTGGAGGAATGGGGACTTGAGAAACAAAATGTACATTTTATGAACGAGATGAACGATCCAATAGAGGAGGGCGCTTGTTCTTTATTAGAAATAAATAATATTGACTGTACAGCCCATCAGTTATTAGTTATTATGCAGCATTTTATCCTGTCTATTAAATATAAAAGATCCGTAAAAGATCCGCGAGTAAAGTGACGAATTCGACCTTATTTCTCCCGCGGATATCCGTGGATACGGATACGAATACGGATCTCCGAAACATCACTAATAAAAAGGCATGATAAATTATTATGTTTTCGGCTTACTCGCGTAGTAATTTGACGAGGAACTCGACTACTTTCAAGCCATGCTAGAGGCTCATATTCATGAGCAGCACTTCGCGAGTACTACACTGCGTAAGCCGAAAACATAATAATTTATTTAGTATGTCTCACGAAAGTTACAATACAAAAAAGGCATGATGTTATGTTATGTGTTAAGTACACGTATGATTCAGGCGATAAGCTAATTATGTTATGTTTTTTTTTCAGTGGTACAAGGATACTTCTTGTTGCTGTTGAGAAGTGAAATAGTAAAATTGGAAAACAACAGTGAATTTCAGTTTGTCAACAATGCAGCTGAATCCGAATGTAGAATGAAATGGGCACAAGATGGCATTACCAGCGCGCAAGAAGAACAAACTCAAGAAATTCACAACTGCTAGGAGATTCTAGAAGCATTTTATTCATCACCATCATCATCAACAGGCTATAAATGCCCACTATTGAGCAAAGCCTCTTCTTACGCGGAGAAGGTTTGAGCATTAATCACCACGCTTGCTCAATGCGGGTCGGCGATTACAAACTTATAATTAGAAATTATGAGCCTAGGTTTCTTCGTGATGTTTTCCTTCACAGTTTGTCAGTGGTGTCTAAATAAACTTAAAAATTTCATATAACTCGGAAAATGTTACCTTAGTACTTACCGTCGTTGGTAGGTTTAGAACCCGCACCCTGATGCACGAGAAGCGGGCGTCTTAAACCTCCGGGCAACATCACGACATTCAACTTCTGTGATTTTCATAACATATCATTGTATTTATATTAGTAAAATATGTACAAAATTATTTCAAGTTTAATCTACGATTACTTATAAAAAATCCATAACACTTGTTTATACAAAAGTAGTCCCTAAACGTCGGAAATAAGGTCTACAATGCAATGGAACAAGAGGAGAACGGTCACCGGTGACCACTAGGGGACTGGCAGGCGAAAACGAAACACATGTTATACATATGTATAGAGGGCAGCTCAGTACAATTTTAAAACGTCATTTAAATGATACCTTTAAAAAAAATGTATGTATTACTAATTACGTGCCACATAATATTAATTATAAGTAATTTTCCTATTTTAAACTGCCTCGTTGCCCGAGTGGTCGCAAGTGCGACTGCCGGGCAAGGGGTCTCGGGTTCGATTCCCGGGTCGGGCAAAATATTACTGGATTTTTAAAAAATCTCAGTAGTACCACGGAGTCTCGAATTGTGCCCGGTATATGGCAATAGGCTCACCCCCTACTACATGGGACTCATAACATAAATAGTGAAAAGTGGGTGTAGCATTGTACAGTGGTATGATGTGCACTTCTGCCTACCCCTTCAGGGATCAAAGGCGTGATGTTATATTATGTTTCCTATTTTAGTAAAATAGTTAGATAATAATTATATACCTACTTATGTACATACAAATGCTATGCATGAACTATATTCTATACATACCTATAATAAAACTGTAGACGTGTAAATTTTATAATATATTGAAAATATTTAAAAATAAATAGAAACCAAACCCAAAGTTGTGATTAAAATATGTTTTGTCTGTGTGTCTATACCTAAGTCTAAACCTACTGGTCCTACTACTAATCTTACCTACGATTAAATTTCGTATGATTTAATATCCTGGGTACATCATTGCGTACTATTTATCTCGAAAAATTATATACATGAAAAAACAAACTTAATTGTACAGCTCAATCCCTAGACATTGTTTCTGTACCAAACGCAAATATAAGTTTGCAGTGGACTTTACGCTGTAGCTGAAGAGCCGATGTTTGAAATTAGCTTGAACTGACATGTTTGTTACTCAGTCATATCAAAACGGATGAAGGGACCTGGATGAAACCGAGATTGAACGAAGATCGACTTGGAGAGGTGGTTAAATTAATACACACTGTACGCGTATATTATCTCAATTACTATGCTTGCTGCTCACATCAAAGATGACATTTGTCCGTACCCTATATAAATCCCGGTAACGAAACCATAGCGCCATCTAACTCGATCCCAACGCCATCTATCGAGCGCTGGGACAACTCGTCTTAATTAAAAATTTATTTTATAATAAAATGTTGATAGCGCTATGATCCCGTTACCGCCACGAACAGAGATAGATTATGGCCGGTAACACATAGGCGACTCTTTACCCCTGGGAACGCGGGCGAAGCCGCTAGCAGGAGCTAGTATTTAATATATAAATAAGTAGCAGTTGACATGTCGTTAACATGTATTGTAGAGGTATAAAAATGATAGTTTATCAGGAGTAAACATTTGAACTGTATAAAAACTAATAATAAGTCATTGTATTGTCTAGATTAGTTTCTAAGAGTTGTTACTCATTTGCTGTTATTATTTTGTAAATACAAATAAATAATATTAGAGTGTTTATTTTTAAAAATAAAATAACCGCTTTTAACTATTGTTATATTATGAATATAAATACGATACTCATGACAAAATATTTTTGTTTTATTATTTTTGTCTGTCTGTTTGTACTAGCGAATCTCTGGAATGACTGGACTGATTTTGCAACACATTTACTTGCAGGTAGCTGATGTGCTAAGGCTAACCTAGGCCAATTTGATTTTGGAAAATTGATATAAAAACTTGTTATGTTCTAAAAATCGTACATCTAAATCTAAAATGATAAAAATCATAAAAAATAATAAAATAATCATAAAAAATGAACAATTTAAATATCATCATGTAACCTCTGCCTATCCCTTCGGGGATAAAAGGCGTGTTATGTGTAAAAATCATATTTTACGCGGATGAAGTGGCGGGCAACAGTAATAAGTATCTAGTAATTGATTAAGTTGATTTAGGATAGTCGATTGTTTCATACCACACCTTAGTATATGTAACACGCCTGGGTACTTGCCTTAATCAAAAATAAATTATTTCGACTGTTTAATACAGTAAAATGTAACAAAATAATTACACTGTCATTAATTGACTTTATGAATAACTTAATTTAAGTATTTTTCCAGCAATTTTTTTAGAAATAACTATATTGTTTGACGCTGAAAAACGTGACGTCACAATACACAATCTCGTACAAAATTCATACAAAACTGTCGTTTTTGACAGTTCGAAAAAAGTATTGAATTTGACTAGTTGGCAATTACCTAATTAGACACAAATATACCAAACAAGTATTTTGAACGGAGCTATTATTAGTTAATTATTTAATGTATGCCATTTAGTACCGGATACAACTATCTCATTAAACCCCGGGTCTCATAACGATGACATTAATTTAAATTATGTACGTCTAATGAGAAACTGCCTCGTTAGTTGTGTACCGAACTAAGGGTATCCAGTTTGGTTACCTATATTATTACTGTTTACTCCCAAAGTACAATGTAACATCCACTTTTCACTATTTATGTTATGAGTCCCATGTAATAGGGGGTGAGCCTATTGCCATATACCAAGCACAATTCCAGACTCCGTGCTACAATTGAGATTTTTTTTAAAAACCCAGAAGTACTTTGTCCGACCCGGGAATCGAATGAATCGAATCGAATCGGCCAGCGATACAGTAAGAACTGCAATCCTTACTTATATCCTTACTTATATTATAAATCGGAAAGTGAGTTTGTTTGTTTGTTTGTTCCGACTTCACGCCGTAACTACTAAACCGATTGCATTGAATTTTTGCAGACGTAAAGTTAGTAGTCTGGATTAAATAATAGGGTACTTTTTATCCCGAAAAAATATGATATTCCCGAGGGAAAACAAAAGTATTGGTATAGATGGCGCTGTATGTATTGGTATATGTCACATAGGCTACTTTTTATCCTTTTGAAGCCGCGGGTAAAAGCTAGTGTTTTATATTACCAAAAATGCTTCCTAAAGCCTTTGACTACTGACAGACAACTGTACCAGGCAAATTCTACGCAAACGTAGGTCACCGGCGACCTACGCGCAGTTTAAAATTATCTCATTTACTCGGAACTCAATTAGTTAAAGACCCGACCCGCTAACTGTTATCTTAGTACAAAGCAACTCGCTTAAAGTGCCAGTGACCATTCTACTGTGAACGCTACAAGTTGATGTCACGTGCATTTAAAAATCAATCGTAATTGTATAGTGTTAAAAGTGATAGTGTATTAAGTTAATATTAACTTATTTTTATAAGGACTTTCTTCGGATTTGTTGCAGCAGTTTTCGAGATTTGTGCTTAGACACAGATTTGCAGATACGATTTTGTTTGTTTAAACCAGTTAAAGATTGTCTACAAAATGCGTACAGAACTTCCAACGTGTAAAAGATGTTGTTTCTGTATGCCTTTACGTTATGGCTTATTGTCATGGGGATATTTCCGATTCGTAAGTATTTTTTTATATATTCTTAGTATAAAACTTTTGACTTAGTTCTGTATGACTATAATTGTTTCCTGATTTAAGTACAAAAGCTTGCAAAATGGTAGAACATTAATACCCATCTATACTAATATTATAAAGCTAAAGAGTTTGTTTTTTTGTTTGTTTGTTTGAACGCGCTAATCTCCGAAACTTTCTTTCTTGTTTTGAAAAATTCTTTCTGTGTTGGATAGCCCATTTATCGAGGAAGGTTATAAGCTATAAAATATCACGCTACGATTAATAGGCGCCGAGCAAAGCGAGTAAAACCGCGCGCAAGTAGCTATTTCTATAATAAAATCACTGAAAGTTGTACATTGTTTATTATTTATAATGTATTCTAGTTTACAGCTTACTCATAGAATTATTTTGCGGGGTAACTCGACAAGTTTCAAGCTAATTTAGGGGCTCATAGTCATGAGTAGCGCTGTCTTACAATTACAAGCGACATGGCAAGCGTCGCGCAGTCAAAGTGCGTGTTTAGTTGAGCGACCCTCGCAATGTCGTTCAAAGAATATCTAGTAATTCTTCATAATCTTTTCTTCTGTTTTCAGGTCATATCAGGACTCTTTCTAGTTGGACTCACAGTTGGATTTGTAGGGTTAATTACGGCAGATAATAGTTTCAGAGAATTGGTGTCAATAATAGTTGTGGGGGTCCTACTGCTGAGCACGCTAACTGATTTTGTACTTAACTTTCTATTCATCCTCGGCGGACATAAGGTGAGTTTTACAAATCAAACTGTAATGAACTATTATACAGGATGAAACGAACCGCTCCCAAAACATTGGCAAATGAAATTGTCATACAATTTTAATAGTTTTTATGTTACTAAATAAATTATTATATTTTCGGCTTACTCACGTAATTATTTAATTATAATGCGTCGGGGGTCTCGAAATGCTGCTCATGAATGAGCCTCTAGCATGGCTTGAAACTAGTCGAGTTTCTCGTCAAATATTTACATGAGTAAGCCGAAAGCATAATAATCTATTTAGTATGTCTCACGAAATTATAATACAG